TAATTTTTGTATTTTTAGTAGAGATAGGGTTTCACCATGTTGGCCAGGCTGGTCTTGAACTCCTGACCTCAGATGATCTGCGTGCCTTGGCCTCCCAAAGTGCTGGGATTACAGGCATGAGCTACTGTACCCAGCCAAGAGAACAGACCTTAAATATTCTCACCATAAAAAAACTGAGGTCTTAGATATGTTAGCTTGATTTAAAAATTTTTTTTTTAATTTTTAATTTTTTTACAAAATAGAGATAGGGTTACACTATGTTGCCCAAGCTGGTCTTGAACTCCGGGCTCAAGCCATCCTCCCACCTGGGTCTCCCAAAATGGTGGGATAACAGACGTGAGCCGCTGCACTTGGCCAGCTTGATTATTTTTTAATGGCAAACAAGCTCATGAAAAGATGTTCAACATTGTTAGTTACTAGAGAAGTACAAATTAAACCTCAATAATATACCACTATACATCTATTAGAATGGCTAAAAAATTTTATTTTGTTTATTTATTTATTTATTTTGAGACGGAGTCTCGCTCTGTCGCCCAGGCTGGAGTGCAGTGGCGGGATCTCGGCTCACTGCAAGCTCCGCCTCCCGGGTTCACGCCATTCTCCTGCCTCAGCCTCCCGAGTAACTGGGACTACAGGCGCCTGCCACCTCGCCCGGCTAGTTTTTTGTATTTTTTAGTAGAGACGGTGTTTCACCGGGTTAGCCAGGATGGTCTCGATCTCCTGACCTCGTGATCCGCCCGTCTCAGCCTCCCAAAGTGCTGAGATTACAGGCTTGAGCCACCGAAAAAAATGTATTTTAAAGAACAAAACCCCAGGCTGGGCGTGGTGGCTCATGCCTGTAGTCCCAGCACTTTGGGAGGCCAAGGCGAGTGGATCACGAGGTCAGGAGATTGAGACCATCCTGGCTAACACAGTGAAACCCCATCTCTACTAAAAATACAAAAAATTAGCCAGGCGTGGTGGCGGGCGCCTGTAGTCCCAGCTACTTGGGAGGCTGAGGCAGGAGAATGGCGTGAACCCGGGAGGCGGAGCTTGCAGTGAGCCGAGATCATGCCAATGCACTCCAGCCTAGGCGGCAGAGGGAGATTCTGTCTCAAAACAAAAGAACAAAACCTCAAATCTGATAATACCAACTGTAGACAAGAATGTGGAGCAACTGGAACAGTCATACGTTGCTGGTGAGAATGCAAAATGATACAACCGCTCTGGGGAAACAGGTTAGCAATTTCTCATGAAGTTAAACATGTACTTCCCATTTGACCTAGCAATCTCCTAGGTGATTCTTACCCAAGAGAAACAAAACTTAAGTTTGCAAGAAACCTGTACACAAATGTATACAGCAGCTTTATCGTTGCTAACAACTGGAAACAAACCAATATCTTACAGTTGGTAAGTAGATAGTGTGGAATACCCTTGGCAATAAAAATAAGTTGTTATATACTACAACTTGAATGAATCTCAAATGCATTATGCTAAGTGAAAAAAAGCCAAACTCAAAAGGCTACATACATATGATATGATTTGGTTGTGTAACATTCTGGAAAGGCAAAACTATAGGGACAGAAGACAGACAGATCAGTGGTTGCCAGGGATTAAGAGTGGGAGCAGGGTTTGACCATGAAGGAGTTTTAGGGGTGATGATATTCTGGTTTGTTTTTTTTTTTTTGAGACAGAGTCTCACTTTCACCCAGGCTGGAGTGCAGTGGCACGATCTCGATCTCGGCTCACTGCAAAAACTGGAAACAAAGGAAGTAAATATGACAACATGCTAATTACATATGAGATTATCAGTATTTGCTTTATTATTGTACTTGTATTTTTTAATTAGCTGACATAGAAACAAGGTAAAATATATCCCCCTTAGAGAAAATTTAGAAAAGACAGAGAAGGAGATAGAAAAAGTCACCAGTTGCTTTTATTTATTTATTTATTTATTGAGACAGAGTCTCGCTCTGTCACCCAGACTGCAGTGCAGTGGTGCCATCTCTGCTCACTGCAAGCTCCGCCTCCCAGATTCACGCCATTCTCCCGCCTCAGCCTCCAGAATAGCTGGGACTACAGGCGTCTGCCACCATGCCCGGCTAATTTTGTTTTTGTATTTTTAGTAGAGACGGGGTTTCACCATGTTAGCCAGGATGGTCTTGATCTCCTGACGTCGTGATCCGCCCGCCTCGGCCTCCCAAAGTGCTGGGATTACAGGCGAGGTCCATCGCGCACGGCCCACCAGTTGCCTTTAGGCATTGTATTTTTTATTATTTTCTACATGTCTTTTTGCACAATGAAAAGTGTACCGTAAGAACAATTTTGCCTGTGGTTTTACTTAGTATATTCTAAACTTGTTTCCTTTGCAATTTTTTTTTTTTTTTTTTTTGAGACACAGTCTTGCTCTGTTACCCAGGCTAAAGTGCAGTGTCGCGATCGCAGTATCGCGATCACAGTTCACTGCAGGCTTGACCTTCCTGAGCTCAGGTGATCCTCCAGCGTCAGCCTCCTGAGCAGCTGGGACTATAGGTGCACCCATGGCTGGCTAATTTTTTGTATTTTTTGTAGAGACAGGATTTCATCATGCTGCCCAGGCTAGTGCTGAACTCCTCAGCTCAAGTGATCTGCCCACCTCAGCCTCCCAAAATGCTGGGATTACAGCATTTGTAATCCCCTTCCTCTTAAATGATCTTTGAAACATATTTGCAATCTCAAAGCCTGCATTTATCTAAACAACTGGTTTCCTTTTAGGGATGTAGGCATTTCTGTAATATTAAACTGGTATATTTCACCTCGCTATCATGGTATCCCCTCAGTACAACCGAGGGGATGTTTGCATGAATCTTGTGAATTATGATGGCTCTGAGCCATTGTAATTTGATTAACCGAAGTCTTACTTTGGGGTTTATTTTATTTTTATTATTTATTATTATTTTTTTTGAGATGGAGTCTCACTCTGTCGCCCATGCTGGAGTGTAGTGGTGCTATCTGGGATCACTGCAACCTCTGCCTCCTGGATTTAAGTGATTCTCCCACCTCAGCCTCCCAAGTAGCTGGGACTACAGGCACGGGCAACCATGCCGGGTAATTTTTTGTATTTTTAGTAGAGACGGGATTTCACCATGTCGGCCAGGCTGGTCGCGAACTCCTGACCTCAAGTGATCTCCTCACTTTGGCCTCCCAAAGTGCTGGGATCACAGGCGTGAGCCACCACGTCTAGCCTACTTTGGGATTTTTCTCTACAACATTTTCATGTTGTTAATGTAGCTGGGGGTCCAGCATCACTGCTGGTCACTTAATCCGGCTAGAGGCCACCAGGATACACCATCTCTTTGTAGTAAGCTGTTAAGGAGAGCCCTAGGCAAAATTACTTAGGTTCATGGTGTCAGTGCTTTTGTGGAGATGTCCAACTCCTGAGGTTCACTCATACTGTCATTTTTTCCTAAGGCATCAGGTGATGAGCCTCTCTGACCCAGCATTCTGACTACACTACCCTTTTCACATTCTTTTCTTTCTTTTTTTTCTTTTTTTTTTTTTTTGAGACAGGGTCTGGTTCTGTTGCCCAGGCTGGAGTACCCTGGCATGATCACAGCTCACTGCAGCCTCGACCTCCCGGGCTCAAGTGATCCTCCTGCTTCAGCCTCCTGAGTAGCTGGGACTACAGGTGCACGCCACCATTCCTGGCTAATTTTTTCATTTTTTATAGAGACAGGACATCACTATGTTGCCCAGGCTGGTTTCAAGTCACAGTTGTACGAGTCACAGTTGCAATTTTTTTTTTTTTTGAGATAGAGTCTCATTCTGTCACCCAGGCTGGAGCACTCACTGCAACCTCCGCCTCCTGGGTTCAAGCAGTTCTCCTGCCTCAGCCTCCTAAGTAGCTGGGATTACATGCCCGCACCATCACGCCAGGCTAAGTTTTGTATTTTTAGTAGAGATGGGGTTTCACCATGTTGGTCAGGCTGGTCTCGAACTCCTGACCTCCTGATCAGCCCTCTTCGGCCTCCCAAAGTGCTGGGATTACAGGTGTGAGCCACTGCACCCGCCCATAGTTGCAATTTTATTTGTGTGATTGAGTGCCATATGACCCTTTTATTGAAGTACAGTGAAAGCAGGAAACATGACTGATTTTTACAATATTTTCAACACTTACCACCATAGGTGGTACATAGTAAGGCCTTAATAAACATTTGTAAAATGAACAAAGGTCATGAGTGTTTATGTTTGTAGTTTTAATTGCCCTAAAGTAAATATCTGATTTGCCAATTTCCACCAGAGTGCTCTGCGCATAGTAGGTCTAATTATTTTTCCCTCTTTACTAATCACCCATGCCTTGTAAGAATTCAGTTAGCTGACTTTTTGTAGTTTATAAGCCTGATGACTGGGTGTTCCCGTGTGTGTGAGATGTGCCACCCTCGAACCTTGTTACTACGGCGGCACATCGCGCGTCTGACATGAAGAAAAAAAAAATTCAGTTAGTCGGCCAGGAACAGTGGCTAAGGCCTGTAATCCCTGCACTTTGAGAGGCCAAGGCAGGAGGATCACTTGAACCCAGGAGTTCGAGACCAGCCTAGGCAACATAGCGATACTCCGTCTCAAACAACAAATAAAAATAATTTGTCGGGCATGGTGGTGCGCGCCTGTAGTACCAACTGCTCGGGAGGCTGAGGCGAGGGGATCGCTTGAGTCACGGAGGTCAAGGCTGCAGTGGGCCAAGCTCGCGCCACTGCACTCCAGCCTGGGCGACAGAGTGAGACCCTGTCTCAAAACAAAACAAAACAAAACAAAAAACCTTAGAGGATTAAAAAAAAAATTTATAGCGGAAATATAGTAACGAGTTGCCCTAGGCTCGTCTTCGTTCAGCCTTCGCCTCCGCTCAGCCGCCGCCTCCGTTAGAACGGCCGCTGGTGCTGGGGGATCCTTTTGCGCACGCGCACAGCCTCTGGCCGGCTATGTCCTCGAGCGGGTTCCATCCTCTACCCAGCGCGCGCGAAGGCTACGGAGGTCGACTCGGGAGCGCGCACGCAACTCCGCCTCGCGTCCGGCCCGCGAATCCCGCGGCGTCCAGCCGGGTGGTCCGGGCCGCGGAGGGAATGCCCCGGAGGGCGGAGAACTGGGACGAGGCCGAGGCAGGCGCGGAGGAGGCAGGCGCCGAAGAGTACGGCCCTGAAGAGGGCGGCCGGGAGGAGTCGGGCGCCGAGGAGTCCGGCCCGGAAGAGTCCGGTCCGGAGGAACTGGGCGCCGAGGAGGAGATGGAGGCAGGGCGGCCGCTGCCCGTGCTGCGCTCGGTGAACTCGCGCGAGCCCTCCCAGGTCATCTTCTGCAACCGCAGCCCGCGCGTCGTGCTGCCCCTGTGGCTCAACTTCGATGGCGAGCCGCAGCCGTACCCAACGCTGCCGCCTGGCACCGGCCGCCGCATCCACAGCTACCGAGGTACGGGCCCGGCGCTTAGGCCTGACCCAGCAGGGACGATAGCACCGTCTGCTGAAGCCCCTCAACCGCTCTGGGGTCCATTTTGCAGACGGGGAACTGAGGCCCCTTGAGGCGGGACACATCCAGGGTGACGCTGCTCGCAAGCGTCAGAGCATTCTTTTTTTTTCCCCCCGAGACGGAGTCTCACTCTGTCACCCAGGCTGGAGTGCAGTGGCGCGATCTCGACTCACTGCAGCCTCCGCCTTCCGGGTTCAAGCGATTCTCCTGCCTCAGCCTCCTGAGTTGCTGGGATTACAGGCGCGCGCCACCACGCCCGGCTGATTTTTGTATTTTTAGTAGAGATGGGATTTCACCATGTTGATCAGGCTAGTCTCGAACTACTGACTTCGTGATCCGCCCGCCTCGGCCTTCCAAAGTGCTGGGATTATGGGCGTGAGCCGCCGCGCCCGGCCCAGAGCATTCTTTATAAGGCTGAATAGTTTCCATTTGAAGGTGGCTCCTCTCACCCCCCGCCCCACGTGTATTTTCCCCTAAAAGAAAAGCTCGGCCGGGCGCGGTGGCTCAAGCCTGTAATCCCAGCACTTTGGGAGGCCGAGACGGGCGGATCACGAGGTCAGGAGATCGAGACCATCCTGGCTAACACGGCGAAACCACGTCTCTACTAAATACAAAAAACTAGCCAGGCGAGGTGGCGGGCGCCTGTAGTCCCAGCTACTCGGGAGGCTGAGGCAGGAGAATGGCGTGAACCCGGGAGGCGCAGCTTGCAGTGAGCTGACATCCGGCCTGGGCGACAGAGCGAGACTCCGTCTCACACACAAAAAAAGAAAAGCTCCATCTTTAACATCCCATCTGTTCAGTCCTGATGACTCCAGTGGGCCAGTTCTGCGCAGTCTCTGCCCTCATGGAGAACATATTCCTCTTGGGGAGACAGACAGATGCATTAACTGACAGGAATAAGCCAGGGTCATGTTGACCCCGGAAGAGCCGACCGTGTGTGACGTGGGAGCTTGACCTACCTGCCTGCTCGGAGTTGGAGGGGTTGCGGTTGTGTGATTTCAGTCTAATGGAACGCATTTCACCAAGCGAGAGGAAGGAGCAGGATGGAAGTAGGGAGCTAGCCAATCCTAGATAGAGCGGTTCTAGACATGCGTCGCGTTAGACCTGGAGTCTTGAGAGAGGAAGCTCTAAAGTGATTTTACCCCCTAGGAATGTGGAGGCATTGAAATTTTTTTTTTTTTTTTTGAGACGGCGAGTCCTTGCCCTCAAAGCTGGAGTGCAATGGTGCAATTGCGGCTCATTGCAACATCCGCCACCTGGGGTCAAGTGGTTTCTCTGCCTCAACCTTCCGAAAGATTGGGGGATTAGAGGGCGTGCGCCACACGCCTGGCTAATTTTTTTTTTAGTAAGAGATGGGGGTTTCGTCATTTTGCCAGGCTGGTCTCGAAAAACTTCTGACCTCAGATGATCCCACCGGCCTTGGCCTCCCCAAATGTTGAGATTACAGGTGTGAGCCCACTGCGCCCAGCCCTTTGAAAGTTTTCTATATAGTATAATATATATATATATATATATTATATATTGAGGTGGAGTCTGGCTTGTCAACAGATGGAGGCTGTTGTGCAATCTTGGGGTATGGCACTCCGATGGCAACCTCCGGATGCAAACCTTTCCGACTCCTTGGTTCCAGCGGTTCTCCTGCCTCAGCCTCCCGAGTAGCTGGGATTACCAGGAGCTTCAATATGTGCTCTTTGCTTACCCCTCTTATACTGAGCATGTCACTTGCCCTCTCAGACCCTGTTTTCTCATCTATAAATGGGATCTGTTGTGAGGACTGGACTGAGATAATGTTACTAGAAGGGCTTTGTATGATTTTAAGCAGAGTGAGAGGCAAGCTTTTAGCTTTTTTGTGTAGGTCAGGGGAAATGGAAAAATAGGTGCCCTGACTTCGACCAGTGTGGGCTCTTTTTTTTTTTTTTGGAGATGCGAGTCTTGCTCTGTTCCCAGGCTGGAGGGCAGTGGGCATGATCTCAGCTCATTGCAAGCTCACCTCCTGGTTCACACCATTCTCCTGCCTCAGCCTCCGAGTAACTGGGGCTACAGGCACTCGCTACCACACCCGGCTAATTTTTTGTTTTTTAATAGAGACGAGGTTCACCCGCGTTAGCCAGGACGGTCTCGATCTCCTGACCTCGTGATCCGCCCGCCTCGGCCTCCCAAAGTGCTGGGATTACAGGTGTGAGCCACCGTGCCCAGCCACCAGTGTGGCTCTTTAACAACCTTTGCTTGTCCTGATAGGTCACCTTTGGCTCTTCAGAGATGCAGGGACACACGATGGGCTTCTGGTTAACCAAACTGAATTATTTGTGCCATCTCTCAATGTTGACGGACAGCCTATTTTTGCCAATATCACACTGCCAGGTACTGATGTTCAGTTTTACTTTTTAAAAAGATAAGGTTGTTTGTTGTGGATAGGCCACTTGAAAAATTAAGCCCAGTCCTTAATTTTTGCCTGATGTCAGGCAAGGTATCCAATCTTTTTGTATCCTATTCTCTACCATAAATAAAATGGAATTGATGTATTTGTATGTTTTGTGTTAAAGATGTTATGGTGTCTCAAAAGCACTTTGGGCTCTTAAGAGACAAGCAAAATTAAAGTATCACATCATAGATTAGTTTTGTAGAATTGTAAAATTATGAATGCCTTTTGTTTCCCTGGCCGAATTGTGCCCTGGAGCTCCAGGAGAACAATGTGTAGAGCATGAGATATTTTGGCTTATTTCTTGTTGACTTCTAATTTTTTTTATTTTTTTCAGATGGAATCTCGTTGTGTTGGCCAGGGTGGAGTACAGTGGCGCAGTCTTGGCTCACTGCAACCTCTGCCTACTGGGTTAGCGATTCTCCTGTCTCAACCTCCTGAATAGCTGGGACTACGGCGTGTGCCACCCACCCCACTAATTTTTTGTATTTTTAGTAGAGACAGGGTTTCACCATGTTAGCAGGATGGTCTCCATCTCCTGACCTCATGATCTGCCTGCCTCAGCCTCCCAAAGTGCTGGGATTTACAGGTGTCAGCTGCAGCACCCGGCCTATGTATTTTTATTTTTATTTTTATTTATTTATTTATTTGAGACAGAGGAGTCTCCCTCTGTCGCCCACGCTGGAGCGCAGTGGCATGATGTTGGCTCACTGCAAGCTCCGCTTCCTGGGTTCATGCCATTCTCCTCCCCGAGCCTCCCCGGTAGCTGGGACTACAGGCGGCCGCCCCCCTGCCTGGCTAATTTTTTTTGTATTTTTTAGTAGAGATGGGGTTTCACCATGTTAGCCAGGATGGTCTCATTCTCCTGACCTCGTGATCCACCCGCCTTGGCTTCCCAAAGTGTTGGGATTACAGGCGTGAGCCACTGCGCCTGGCCTATGTATTTTTAATTTAACACAATCAAGCTCACAGTGCCAATCAGAGGTATATTTATTTTTGTTTTTATTTTTAGAGAGTCTCACAGTGCCATCCAGGCTGGAGTGCAGTGGTGTGATTTCAGCTCACTGCAGCCTCTGCATCCCAGGTACAAGTGATTCTCCTGCCTCAGCCTCCTGGGTAGCTGGGGTTATAGGCGCCTGCCACCACACCTGGCTAATTTTTGTATTTTTAGTAGAGACGTGGTTTCACCATGTTGGCCAGGCTGATCTTGAACTCCTGACCTCAGGTGATCCGCCCACCTCAGCCTCCCAAAGTGCTGGAATTATAGGCATGAGCCACCGCGTCTGGCCTGTTTTTGTTTGTTTGTTTTTTTTTTTTTTTTAATCATTGAAGATTGGTATAATACTTCACTATTTGTTTGAAGCTCAAATGATTTTATCAGGGTAAACCCTAATAAACTGATGTTCCTGTGGGTAAAAAAACTCACTAAAGACCAGCAATGCATGGTGGCTCATGCCTATAATCATGCCTGTAATTCCAGCACTTAGGGAGGCTGTGGCGGGAGGGTCGCTTGAGGTCAGGAGTTCTTGACCAGCCTGGACAACAAAGTGAGACCCCAGCTCTACAAAAAAAATTATTTTTAATTTCCTGGCTGTCTTAGCATGTGCCTGTAGTCGCAGCGATTTGGGAGGCTGAGGTGGGAGGATCCCTTGAGCCCAGGAGTTTGAGGCTGCAGTGAGCCATGATCACACCACTGCACTCCAGCCCAGGTGACAGAGTGAGACCCTGTCTCAAAAAAGAAAACAAACAAACAAAAAAACAACCCACAAAGCCCCCCAAATACATGGGTTTCATAGGATTCAAACTAATACGTGTGCATAGATTCTGTTTAAGGAAGTAGATATATAAAAATGAGCATTGCTGAGTTAAATTTGGTAAATTTGCCTTATAGAATACCCTTAAGGAGTACGTTTCCAGTGAGTGTAAAATAGGAATTGGGATACCCAATTCAGTTGTACTAGATTTTCGAAGTACACATTGTTTTGGTTATGTGTTTTGTGACTACCACCCCAAAAACAACCTTTTTTTTTTTTTTTTTTTTTTTGGGAGACAGAGTCTCACTGTGTCACCCAGGCTGGAGTGCAGTGGTGTGTGATCTTGGCTCACTGCAAGCTCTGCCTCTTGGGTTCAAGCGATTCTCCTACTTCAGCAGCTGGGACTACAGGTGTGCACTACCAAGCCTGGCTAATTGTTTGCATTTTAGTGGAGACTGGGGTTTCGCCATGTTGACCAGGCTGATCTTGAACTCCTGAGCTCAGGCAACCTGCCTGTCTCAGCCTCCTGAAGTGCTAGGATTACAGGTGTGAGCCACCGCACCTGGCCCACCATTTTATTTTGTTCATAATTCTGTAGTCCAGGCTGGGCTCAGGCAGTTACTCTGCTGGTGGTAGTCGTTGGTATGGCTGTCTTTTGCTGGCAGCTGGGGGCTGGACCTGTCCTTCTTTTTTTTTTTTTTCTTTTTTTTTTTTTTTCGAGATGGGTTCTCACTCTGTCACCCAGGTTGGAGTGCAGTGGCATGATCTCAGCTCACTGCAACCTCTGCCTCCAGGGCTCAAATGATCCTCCTCCCACCTCAGCCTCCCCAGTCGCTGGGACCACAGGCACGTGCCACCATGCCTGGCTAATTTTTTGTATATTTTATAGGGACGGGGTTTTGCCATGTTGCCCAGGCTGGTCTTGAACTCCTGAGCTCAGGCGATCTACTCATGTCAGCCTCCCAAAGTGCTGGGATCACAGGCATGAACCACCATGCCTGGCCAGGGCCTGTTCCTCTTTATGTGGTCTCTCTAGCACGGTGGCTCAGGGCTTTCAAGAGAATAAAAGCAGAAGTCGACAGGCCTTTTTAAGGCTTCGACCCAGAATTGCAGTGTTGCTTCATCCACATTCAGTTAGTTAAAGCAGTCACAAGCTCAGCCCATTTCAAGGTGAAATTACTACCATGAGGTGTCCATAGGGGGCCATCAGTATAACACACTGCCACATACATGCACTCACTTTTTTTCTTTAACCTAAAGTGAGATCCATCAGTAGTAAAGGTAGCTGTTGGCAAAGCCTCTTGCTCATTCATTGTACTGAGACCCTAGTCTGCCACTGAGGATTTGGTTTTTGCCCTTCCAGTGTATACTCTGAAAGAACGATGCCTCCAGGTTGTCCGGAGCCTAGTCAAGCCTGAGAATTACAGGAGACTGGACATTGTCAGGTCGCTCTACGAAGATCTGGAAGACCACCCAAATGTGCAGAAAGACCTGGAGCGGCTGACGCAGGAGCACATTGCAAATCAACGGATGGGAGATTGAAGATTTCTGTTGAAACGTACTCTCATCTCAGCTTTTGATGGTACTGATGAGTCTTGATCTACATACAGGACTGCCTCCTTACTCAGTTTCAAAGTGTCTCATTCTCAGAGTAAAATAGGCACCATTGCTTAAAAGAAGGTTAACTGACTTAACTAGGCATTGTGATGTTTAGGGGCAAACATCACAAAATGTAATTTAATGCCTGCCTATTAGAGAAGTATTTATCAGGAGAAGGTGGTGGCATTTTTGCCTCCTATTAAGTCAGGACAGCTTGTGTGTAAGGAGGTTTGTATAAGTAATTCAGTGGGAATTGCAGCATATCGTTTAATTTTAAGAAGGCAGTGGTATCTACTTTTAATGGATGTATAATACATCCATTCTACATCCATAATGGTTGGTGACTTGTCTGCCTCCTGTTTTGGGAAGACTGAGGCATCCTTGAGGCAGGGACAAGTCTTCGTCCTCTTTGAGACCCCAGTGCCTGCACATCATGAGCCTTCAGTCAGGGTTTGTCAGAGGAACAAACCAGGGGACGCTTTGTTAGAAAGTGCTTAGAGGGCCGGGCGCGGTGGCTCAAGCCTGTAATCCCAGCACTTTGGGAGGCCGAGACGGGCGGATCACGAGGTCAGGAGATCGAGACTATCCTGGCTAACACAGTGAAACCCCGTATCTACTAAAAATACAAAAACTTAGCCGGGCGAGATGGCAGGCGCCTGTAGTCCCAGCTACTCGGGAGGCTGAGGCAGGAGAATGGCATAAACCTGGGAGGCGGAGCTTGCAGTGAGCTGAGATCCGGCCACTGCACTCCAGCCTGGGTGACAGAGCGAGACTCCGTCTCAAAAAAAAAAAAAAAAAAAAAAAAAAAAGAAAGTGCTTAGAGGTTCTGCCTCTATTTTTGTTGGGGGGTGGGAGAGGGGACCTTAAAATGTATACAGTGAACAAATGTCTTAAAGGGAATCATTTTTATAGGAAGCACTTTTTAAATTTTCTAAGTTGTGCACTTTTCTTGGTCCACTCTTGTTGAAGTGCTGTTTTATTACTGTTTCTAAACTAGAATTGGCTTTCTATAGTTGTGATAATAGCATTTTTGTAACTTGACAGCTGCACAGAAAATAGGAGAAAATCTGCATGTTTGATTCTAGTATTAATGGGCAAATAAGTTTTTGCTAAATGTGAGTATGTCTGTTCTTTTTTGTAAATATGGGACATTCCTGATTGATTTGGGTGTTTTGTTTTGTTTTTTTGAGACGGAGTCTCGCTCTTGTCACCTGAGCTGGAGTGCAGTGGCGCCATCTCGGCTCACTGCAACCTCTGTTTCCTGGGTTCATGCGATTCTCCTGCCTTAGCCTCCTGAGTAGCTAGGATTATAGGCGCCCGCCACCACGCCTGGCTAATTTTTGTACTTTTAGTGGAGACAGGGTTTCGCCATGTTGGCCAGGCTGGTTTCAAACTCCTGACCTCAGGTGATCCGCCCACCTCAGCCTCCCAAAATGCTGGGATTACAGGCGTGTGAGCCACCGTGCCTGGCTGATTCGGCATTTTTCATCAGGCAGGACCAGGTGGCACTTCCGCCTCTAACCTCTGGTCCTACCAGTGGATTCATGGAGTAGCCTGGAATGTTTCATAGTTTTCTAAATATACAAACTCTTATAGGCTGGACTTAAATTCATTAACTCAAATTCAATACTTCTATCACACTCAGTTTTTTGTAACTAATAGCTTTTTTTTTTTTTAAATTTTTATTCTATTCCTCCCCTAATAGCTTTTAAAAAAATATCCCCAGTAGAGAAACATTTGGAAAAGACAGAAAACTAAAGAGGAAGAAAAAAGATCCCTATTAGATACACTTCTTAAACACAGCCACATTAACAGTTTGAACTGTTTCCTTTCAGCCTTTTTAGGGCATATATTGGTTGATTTTTACATAGTTGAGATTGTACTGTTTATACCGTTTTATACCCTACTTTTTCATTTAACTTTGTAACTTAACTATTTCTCTATGTTGTTATAAGCTTTTCACAAACATTAGTGTAGTCTTCCTTTTATAATTAATGCTTGGGGGTATTTCTTGGCGTCTTTAATTCCTTATCCTAGCCTTTGGGCACAATTCCTGTGCTCAAAAATGAGAGTGACGGCTGGCATGCTGGTTCACGCCTGTAATCCCAGTGCTTTGGGAAGCCAAGGAAGAGGACTGCCTGAGCCCAGAACTTCAAGATGAGCCTGGGCTCATAGTGAGACCCCATCTATACAAAAAGATTTTAAAAAATCAGTGTGGCGGCACACATCTGTAATCCTAGCTACCTGGCATGGTGAGGTGAGAAGATCATTTGAGTTTAGGAATTGGAGGCTGCAGTCAGCCATGAGTACGCCACTGCACTCCAGCCTGGGGGACAGAGCAAGACCCTGGCTCAAAAAAAAATCAGGCCAGGCATGGTGGCTCATGCCTGTAATCCCAGCACTTTGGGAAGTCGAGGCAGGCAGATCACCTGAGGTCAGGAGTTCAAGACCAGCCTGGCCAACATGGTGAAACCCCGTTTCTACTAAAAATACAAGAATTAGCCAGGTGTGGTGACGCACGCCTGTAATCCCAGCTACTCAGGAGGCTGAGGCAGGAGAATTGCTTGAACCCAGGAGGCGAAGGTTGCAGTGAGCTGATATCACACTGTTGCACTCTAGCCTGGGTGACACAGCGATACTCTGTCTCAGAATAAAAAAAAAAAAATTCAAAGCAGAGTGAAGTGAATGAGACACTCCACAGTTTTCCTTCTACTGCAAATTTCAACTGATTTTAGCCCCTTCTTTCAACATTCAGCAAATAGTCTTTTTTTTTTTTCTTTGAGATGGAGTCTCACTCTGTTGCCCAGGCTGGAGTGCAGTGGTGTGATCTCTGCTCACTGCAAGCTCCACCTCCCGGCTTCAAATGATTCTCCTGGCTCACCCTGCTGAGTAGCTGGGATTACAGGTTCCTGCCACCATGCCCGGCTAATTTTGTATTTTTAGTGGAGATGGGGTTTTACCATGTTGGCCAGGATGGTCTTGATCTCCTGACCTCGTGATCCACCCACTTCAGCCTTCCAAAGTGGTGGGATTACAGGTGTGAGCCCCCGCGTCCAGCCAGCCTTTTTTTTAACCTTTGTGTCAAAATGATAGTTCATGTTCCTCTTGTTAAAACATGTAGGCCGAGCACGGTGGCTCATGCCTGTAATCCCAGCATTTTGGGAGGCCGAGGCAGATGGATCACCTGAGGTCAGGAGTTCAAGACCATCCTGGCCAACATGGTGAAACCTCATCTCTATTTAAAATACAAAAATTGCCAGGTGTGGTGGCTCACACCTGTAATCCCAGCACTTTGGGAGGCCGAGGCGGGCAGATCAGGAGGTCAGGAAATCGAGAGCATCCTGGCTAACACGGTGAAACCCTGTCTCTACTGAAAAATAGAAAACATTAGATGGGCGTGGTGGTGGACGCCTGTAGTCCCAGGTACTCGGGAGGCTGAGGCAGGAGAATGGCGTGAACCCGGAAGGCGGAGCTTGCAATGAGCTGAGATCATGCCACTGCACTCCAGCCTGGGCAACAGAGTGAGACACTGTCTCAAAAAAGAAAAAAAACAAACAAAAATTATCCGGGCATGGATACGGGCACCTGTAATCCCAGCTACTCGGTAGGCTGAGGCAGGCAAATCTCTTGAACCTGGGAGGTGGAGGTTGCAGTGAGCCAAGATCACACCATTGTACTCCAGCCTGGGCAACAAGAGTGAAATTCCATCTCAAAAACAAACAAACAAATAAAAAAAACCATGCAGTTTGAGTACTGTGTTTTTGGTGTTGTCCAAGGAAAATTAAAAACCTGTAGCGTGAATAATATATGTTTTTCATTTGAAATCTTGTGAATGTATTAAATATATAGCTCTTAAGAGACTGTGAAGTTCCTATTTTAAGGTTTTTTTTTTTTTTTTTTTTTTTTAATTTGAATCTATTGCCCAGTTTTTTTTTTTTTTTTTTTTTTTTTTTTTTAAAGCTGTTCTTTAATACATTAAATGGTGCTGAGTAAAGGAAATAGGCAAGGTGTGTTGTGTGGTGTTTTAACCAGGCACTTCTCTCTCAGAGAGTTTTGAAACCTGTTTACATAAAGGCCCAGGATGAGAAGGAGATCCAGACATAAGCCACCAGCCTCATTCCAAGTCTCTTCTCTTTCCAACCCTGGATTTTGTTTTTTACTTAACATTGTTTCTTTTAGCTTTATTTTTCTTATAAAAGAAATATATCACTATACAAAATTAAACACTACAGAAAAATATTAAGAAGAAAAACATTCACCTCAGAAACAAAGTTTTTTCCCATGAAAACAGGACCCAAAAAGGTAAGTAGTTAGTATTTCACCAGCAATTAATTATGTTGAGAATAAGGCCAGGTGAGGTGGCTCACGCCTGTAATCCCTGCACTTTGGGAGGCCAAGGCGGGCAGATCATCTGAGATCAGGAGTTCGAGACCAGCCTGGCCAACATGGTGAAACCCTATCTCTACTAAAAATAAAAAAAACATTAGCTGGGTGTGGTGGCGTGTGCCTGTAATCCCAGCTATTCAGGAGGCTGAGGCAGGAGAATTGCTTGAACCTGGGAGGCAGAGGTTGCAGTGAGCCGAGATTGCACCATTGCACTCTAGCCTGGGTGACAAGAGTGAAACTCTGTCTCAAAAAAAAAAAAAAAAATATATATATATATATATATATGTTGAGAATACAACAGTGAGGGCATGTGCTAGAAATCAGTGCACTAAGGATATGAAATAGATATCAATGTTTTACACAATGTGTGAACACCAGTGTGAACTTTTCGGATACTTTCACCCTGGGTCTCTGTATCCCATTCTTAGCACCTTAGTCCCACTCTCTGCTAGTCGCAGGCTTCCTGATACCCCTTCAATACAGATTGAGTATCCCTAGTCCAAAAATTCCAAATCCAAAGTGCTAAAAAATCCAAAAGTTTCTGAGTCCTGACGTGACTCCACAAGTGGAAAATTCCACATGTGAGTACTTAATACAAACTTCGTTTCATGTGCAAAACTATGAAAAATATTGCTCAAAATTACCTTTAGCCTGTGTCTATAAGGTGTATATGAAACTGGTGGTGTGATGTATATGTTTTCTGTTTTTGTTCCTGGCTCATAACTCCCACAGTCCTTGTTATGGATTTGAGCCACATTGCCTTGGTTAATTTTTTTTTTTTTTTTTTGAGACGGAGTCTTGCTCTGTCGCCCAGGCTGAGTACAGTGGCCGGATCTCGGCTCACTGCAGGCTCCGCCTCCCGGGTTCATGCCATTCTCCTGCCTCAGACCTCCCGAGTAGCTTGGGACTACAGGCGCCCGCCACCTCGCCCGGCTAGTTTTTTGTATTTTTTTAGTAGAGACGGGGTTTCACGTGTTAGCAGGATGGTCTCGATCTCCTGAACTCCAGATCCGCCCTCTCGGCCTCCCAAAGTGCCTGGGATTACAGGCTTTGAGCCACGTGCCCGGCCCTGCCTGGTTAATTTTTAAGTTTTTTGCAGAGAATGGGGTCTCGCTCTGTTGCCAGGCTGGTCTTGAACTCCTGAGGTCCAAGCGATCTCCCACCTTGGCCTCCAAAGCCCTGGTATTA